TTCCGCTGGATTCGCATACGAGGGGCGATTGCGGCTATCTGCGACACTGTTCACTTTTATCAATACACATGATGACTTCTTTTAGTTCAGTCATACGATTTTCTGGTGAGGAGATGTTTAGTTATCAGCTGATATCTCGTGACTTGAAGCTTAGGCACCCAACGGATCGTTTCAGTAAATTATCTGTCCGGAAGGCCTTCAGTCCCGTGTTTTTCTTTAGCAAATTGTCATCTCGAACTTTCGTGATATGAGAAATTTAATGACTGTTGATTTCGGATTGTTAAAAATGTCGTTTTGGGTACCGATAAAAGGTCAGTTATCATTTTCGGAAAGGCGATAAGACCTAAGGTTTTCGGGAAATGGACAAAAAAGCCCCAGTAAATTCGAGAATACTCAAGTTCCCCTAGAATAACCAAACAGATAAAAATTCCGTAGATATATTTTAAATGAAGCATTCATTCATTCATATTTTGAAATGGCAAAGAAAATTAAACAAACAAACGCTACATTCTAAGAATATGACATGCAGAGACATCGACTGATCTCATAGCATTCAGTGAATAAGATCATTTAAATCAGTTGTGCCCTGATTGTAACAAACAACAAATTCTCGCTAACACTACTCCTCACCGGTGCTACTCAAGTCGCATGACACAGAACTAACTTCAAATCCCATTATACTACTTCTTACTAACCGAGCTCGAGGGCCATGCTGTAAGTTACGCCGGCCGAGTCAGTTTTCCCCCATCGATTTATACAGCGTTCACATACCGGAAGGGGTACAGCTACACATATCTGGTGGCTTATAAAACACATAAACGATACTTCTGGGTCAGGCCATGTACCATAGAAATGACATGCTAGCTGTTACAAAAGAAAGAGTTTTATTCTTAGAAGAGGCCACATCCACTCAAACGGCGTCAACAAGAAAAATGTCGCCACGAAATGAGAATTCTGTTGTTGAGATGATTCCAAAAGCGATTACATAAAAAGATAAACTGATCGAGTGGACTCTATCGTAGATTAGTATTGAATTTGCGGTTTAACCAGCAAGAACCGCAGGCAGACGACAAGTTATGCAATCTATATGCAGGTAAAAAATTAGCCATCTGGCTAGCCCGCTTGCAAGGAACGAGGTTGATCTGGCACGCACATTTGTCACGTTACCAGTTCTCTGGGTAATTTTCTAACGTACATGAGAAAGTTTTATTTCTGATTAAAAAAAAAAAGAAAAAAATTAATCCGTAAATAAGAGAGGAAATATTAATGACTTTCCACAAGAGAACTACTCGGGCTCTCTCTCCTCTGCCTCCATTGTAGAGAGCCTGGGAACGACGTTTGCTTTCTTACTGTGACGTGTGACGTATCGTCACGCAACGATGGCGGCGAATCCTGTTACCATAGAAACAAACACAATCTTTTTAAAGCGAACCGCCTCGTCTATTTTTCAGCAGTAAGGAATATCCACGAAAACAATACGACACAATTGAGAGATTCTTTCGAGGTAGTTAAAAGATATAGATGCCTAACCCACATATTTCAACCCAAGGTAGGTAGTTCACGGGTTTTTTTAGCTTTTACAATTATGAAGATTTGTGAAATCTTCGTTTCAGCCGCCATGTTACGCTCTAAGCAAACATGTAAAGTCTCACTTGTTGTCACAGCAAAGGACAAAGTGGAAGCGAGAGTTTTGTGTAATGTAGGTCGTAGTTGTTTTTTTGCCACCTAAATCGTGTTTAGGTTCCTTTAATCTTGGTTTTACACGTATTAATTTACAAGAAACTTACGGTCTGTAAACAACAAAGCAAAG